AAGAGGTCGACGCGTGCCGTCATTCAGCTCTCCCGTACGGCGTTCCATCGACATTGTTTTCCCTACCTCGTCCGTCTCCGTCATGAAATTATTTATCGTTTTATATTATCCGTTATTATTAATTCTTACTCCGAGATGTAATTTTAGTAACCGGGTAAAATAATACAAGCGTTTCGAGGTCTGTTATACATTGTGTTCGTTAAAACCTCGATGGAACGCGGTCGTTTTATTTCGCAGAATTATTCCGGACTTGGCCCGAGCCGGAGAATCGGCAATATAAAATCCGAATTGATTAATAAACCCGAAATCAACATAAATTAATATCGACGTTATCCTGCAGCGGATAGTAGATGAATGAATGAAGCATGAAATTAATATTGATGTCAATTATCCGGGGATAAACTGTATTTACGGGGGTCGTATTTACACGAGTTGAAAACGCGCGCGGAAAAGGAAACTTCGATAATTGGTATTTCCTTCCTATCGCGCGTTTCCTCCCCGTCCCCGCTCGCTTCCCTCCCGAAGTCCCGCGAGCGAGCGGGTAGTTACGCTGTGGGCCCCCCTGCCCCCCCCATAAAATCGCGGTTTCTTCATTATCCCGTTCTACGCAGCTGCCTTTAAGAAGGCAATCGAGATTTTTCCCGGGACGAGCCGGTGTAATCGAAGCGGCGAGTCGTTATGGCCTGGGAGCGAAACGATTGTAGGTGCTTTTCAGGAGAAACCATCTCGGAGCGCCGGTGACGTCGATAATACCGTGGCTGCCCGCCGCTGCAGTTGCTGTTGCAGTCGCTGCTCCCCCATTGGTTCGTTTCGCACGCACCTGCTCGCGCAGTCCGGCCGTCTCACGCTCCTTTACCCGAGCGATCACATTTAACCCCTTCATTCGTCGCGAATTCGCCGCGATTCCCTCCCCCCAGTCTTCCTCTTTCTCATTACATGTCATTATTAGCCCTGGAACATCGCGCATCGCGGGCCCGACCGATGCCCCCGGCCTTCGGAGAACGCGGCTTCTCGCGGTATCCTTCGCGCGGCGACTCGCGAGGCGTCGTCTCGTGCACCTCGAGGATTCTTCAACCGCGACTTTCCGCGCTCAATCGTCTTCTTACGAGGAAACTATTCTCGGTCGAAGGTCGAGTAGAAGGAGAGAAACGGGAGTCCTCGGAACGTGGCGTTTGAGAACTGATCCCTTCGAACGACCTTTTCCCTTAGTGTGTGAAATCTCCTCGATGCAACGTACCCACCGATTTATTCCCAATGAATCTCATTGATGTTACGTTCCCGTCGAATTACTCGCTGAGTTCACCCGATCCTCGCTTGAGAAACGTCCGACGCGTCATCGCCGACACGGGCGCTCTCCGCGACTGTCGCGCCTGTTTCCGCCCGGTCGCTTCCGTTGGGATCGGCTCGATCGGTGACAATCGTCCTTGCGATAATCGGGGGACCAAAGGCGCCGAACCGAAATGCGAAGAAACGGGACGTCGGGCCCCGAGAAAGTCGAACGTCTTTTTCTCACGTGACTTGCCTACCATCGACTATGATGACCACTATGCGCGATTAGGCGGCCTAACGATTTAGCACTTTTCAACCTAGGCCTACGAATAACATTGTGTCGGTATCGGCGCGATTATGCGATTGTCTCTCAGGGAGTTCGTGCCGGCCAATTCGCAGCGGACGCGAGACGCGCAAAAACGGAGCGATCTCCGCGACTTTTCCGCGACCTAAATCTCAACGAATCGCTTGAAAGAAAAGCTTGTGAATATTTCCCGTATTAATGCACGTCATGTGAATTGAAGGGTGGATTTTATACGAACGAACGTGCGGGTAGGCGTCCGTTAACGTTTCATGTTGTAATGGCGAGTGCGACGGGATAATGTTAAATAGTAACGATGATCAATACAATTGCGACGGAGAAAGTTAAATATTTACGTATGACGTATGATTATATTATTTATCCGTGGGATATTCATAGTACGCGTCGAGAATATTACGTGAAAATATTTCGTTGCTGTAATTGTATCAGCCGTTCAACGTTGCTAACGTTGTCGCGTTGTTGCAGTTGTCGCAACGCGAAATAATTAATGAGACACGTGTCCGATGGTAACGGATGATCCGTGGAACGATAACGCACTCGCCAACGGATTCTTCTCGCGTTGTCTTTCGTATTTACAATTCAAATCGGTCAGAGGCGCACGGAGACGAGTGCTCAGACGAGTCGCTTAATTTTGCGGCCACTTTCCTTGCGACATCTTAATGACGTCGGTGTCGGGCGGGCGATGTGAATCGCGACCGACAACTTGCTGACTCGGAGGATCGCGCGAGTTCGCGCTCACGGCGTGTTTATTATCTGGCCGTAATCACGTCGATTATGAGTATGCGCGATCGTATACACGTCACCGTTACTTTTAAAGGTAAAAACCGCTTAGCAGCAACGGACATCGCGTTCTAACGCCAGTTTACGGTTCCGTTCGTTAGCGATTGAGCGTCGCGAGGTAACGAAAAGCGCAAAACCGCGCAGACGTGAGCGAGACGTGTCCACTGGATATGCTGTGACACGTGGCGGCCACTTCAGAAATGAAACTCCCCACTGATTCCGATCAGCACGATTTTTCCTTAGCAAAAACTCGATTCCTTAATTATCAATTTTTGATATCTTGAAAATTGTCGGAAATTTGTCAATTTCCGACGTCGTATTACAATTTTTGTCGAAGTGAACTGAAAAATATATTACTTAGTAAAAAATCTTGTGTTAAAAACGGTCCACTGAAATATTGTTACTGTAACACGAGGAATGTGTTAAAAAGTACACAAGTATAATGTTAAATTAATACATTCATCTTGTCAGCATATGTCAATATTTTACGGGATGTTTTTTTAAATAACATGACCCACTCTAGCGGAACAATATTTTCATACAAACAAAATGATATTTGATGTAAAATTATGTCGTATATATTGAACCAAGCCAAATAAACATTTTCAATCATTTATAACTCGACATTTTTCGTGGTTGTCGGCAAAATAATGGAGGACCTTTTTGCTCGTATTGACCTAAACTACAAATATATGACGGATAGCACGCCTTGCGTCAGATACCCTATATTTCCCGTGTACTTTTTACCACAATCTCTAAAATAACACGAGATTACGGCGGGCCCTTTTCAACGCAAAATGTTTGCTGTGTGGAATGAAATTCGTAAGGTTCAATTTGCGCGACAAGGATCGCGCTTTTTCCAGCCGTTCACGACGCGGAAACAATCAGCGCCTTCCCGAGATTTCCGTCGAGGGGAAACGCCGATTCCGAATTCGCGCGGCCGCTCCCAGAGCCCGCGAACGTTACGAGTACACAGCTCGCATGCGCCGTAAGTAACTGTACTCAAGCCAACGTGCATAATTTAAGCGCTGAAATTAACACGGCGTATTGCGGAACGTTGCGCGAGAGCGTTGCGTGCGAAATTCAAATGAGGCCGCCCAGCGAGAATCCGAGTTCGCCGTGCACGTGCGCCGTCCGATTTCCGTCCAATCAGTCGATTTGTACAAAATCGCATCGGTCGAACGGGCGCGACCAGTGAAAAAATTAGCCGATCTTCGGGTTGCTGCCCGTCAAAGAATTCCTTTCTCTCTCGTAAATCCCGATCGTCTCATTCGCGCGGCCCTTTCGCGAATTTCTCCCCGCGAATTTCTCCCCTTCCATATCTAAACATTCAATCTCGGGTCTGGTCGCGCGGTCTTCGTCGCGTATCTCGCCCCGGTTTAAAACAACGCCTCGCGAGTACAATTTGCATAAAATAAGCAAGCGAAAGAGCAGCGGGCGTCGCGAAAGATTTACCTGTTGCCGGCGACACACGATACATCCTCAACCGCCCCGTAAATATTAATCCGCGCGTTAATTATTGCGTCGAGCGAACGCGAATCCGCAAACGTGCATCTACAGGGCCGCGAACGTTGCAGCAGCTTCGCATTAAACCCGCGCCCGAGATTGATAATGCCATTTTAAGCGACGCGCTAATCGCTCCCTGAGAAACAGTGTCGCACGACCGCCCGGCTATTTTCTATGAGAGACTCGCCTATCCTAGAATGACACTATTGAGTGGAGAAGGACTAGACTCGTCTTTCCGAATCGCAGCTCTACGAGACAATTAATAACGATAATTAATAACGACGCTAATTTGAACGACGGATCCACATCTTGGAGAAAAGATTCCCCGCCGCTGAAAATACCTCCGATCGCGGGGCGCGAATCGAGCGTCACCTTCGTCGCTCAATTATACATTTGCGAGACAAAGATAGGTAAAAATTACACTTTCGTGACACAGCAAACAAATCCGCGAGTACACAGAAACAACATTAGTCTTAAATTGAAATAGATATTTTCATATATAAGCAAGAATATTACAATCATCTTGGTAGGTTTATAATCGTGATTTGAATTTGTATTGATGCGAGTATTACTTGAAATCAATTCAAGACTGAAAATCTTCTAAGAATATTATGATATTCTTGCTTATACACGAGAACATACACTCTTGATTTAAGACTATTTCTTCACCGTCTGGGAATCGCACGGAGAAAATACTCTTCTGGAACAGCAAATTGCTTGTTAATATAGTGACAGCAAAAAGGTTTATCAGGAGTATTAATTTTCGATTGTGCCACCAAAATTTTATCGCTGTCGCGAAAAACAGCGTTTTGCATTTCTCACTATATTAACAAACAATTTTCTCCGTGGCAGCAGCGGATTCTCTCGGCGGAATGTTTCGTTCGAATTTCAATCGGAATTGATCGAAAACCGACATGGATATTAAGTTCTCAGGTGTGATAAAAAGCCGCGGGGTTGAAATTTATTGAAATTAAATCGCGCGAAGAGTCGAGTCGCGCGCGGGTGAGTTTGCGAATTTCATCAGGCCGACGCGATCGGTAGCGTTTCAGCGGCGTCGGAGAGAATACAAGAGGGTGTCTCGAAGTGCTGGGTGTCCGATAATCGAATTTACTGGTCGACTCACCAAATTGTCCAGATGCAGGTGATGCCCGTAATCCCTGGGGTTGCCTCGCGAGCCACCCGGGGAACTGTGTCTGCGACCTCGTCCGTTCTCGATCTCGTCATCGTAGTCCTGGAAAAGAGGGGACACAATCGAGTCTTATCACGGTCGATTTGTCGAAGAGAGACTCGCTTTCCGACGAGCAGTATCGTCCTCTCTTTGCTTTTTTCTCGTTTCTCTATTCTCACAGAAAGTATCCGCGCGCGCGGATCTCGCCGGCGAGAAAAACTTCGCGATTCCCGTCAACGGCTTCCTAGATACGCGCGTATCCTTTTGTCTATACGGTGTGTGTGAGATCTCTCTTAAGCGAGGCGGCGACTTTGTGACCATTGACAATTAAGATCCTCCTAAGCGAAATTAATGTCAATCAAAATCGGCCTGAAATGGCGCTTGAATATTTCCACGTTCGCGCCGATTTTCTAAAAATTCGAAAAGCGGATGGTCTCTTTTTACAGAGCCTCGAATTGTCCGTCGGAAGATGAACGCGAGTGACCTCTTCCCTTAATTAACGGACATCTCCGTTAGAAATTTTCTATTCTCGTCCGATTTCCATTCTAATTTCGATCGGCCGCCGTCCCGCCCGAGATGATCACCGCGCGGCGTTTCGAAAAAGGATACACGCCCGCAGTACCTGATTGTCGCACTCGTCGTCATTGGAGAGGGCGAGGTCGGAGGTCGTCACTTGGTGCTGCTGCGCCCTCCTGCAGCCCACTCTGCAATTGGCAAAATTTCCATTTCAGAAGCACCCGCCCTGACCCGCCAGCCCCGCCGTGATCGCTCTTATCAAATCGCGCGCGCCTCGTCTATTTGCCTTATCGGTATCATCGAAAGAGAGAGAGAGAGAGAGAGAGAGAGATAGATAGATAGATAGATAATAGATAGATGGATAGACGATCCCTCGGACAGAGATTGATCGTTTCGACCGGAAACAAAGGGGAGAGGTGATCGATACGGAAAGTCACGAAGTTCGCAAAACTCTGGAGAATCTCTCTCGGGATCGGATTCGAATATCGCGACCGTCGCGAGATTTCTCGCCGGCGATATGAGAAAAAGAGGAGGAAAGGAGAGAGAAAGAAAGAGAGAGAGAGAGAGAAAGAGAAAGACGAGCCGACATAATTTCGAGAGCTCGCCGTCCTTGACTCTCGACGTTTTCGAGGAGACGTCGTTCGGGGCGAGCTTGGTGGCGAAAGGGTTCCACCGCGAGTTTCGGGTCGACCTATCCTTCATCTCGTATGTCTGTTCTAACGAAAGCGCATATTCTGGCAGACGAGACCGTTAAAGTGAATAAGCGCAGCAGCTTTGCGGGGATCCCGTAGCTCCGTATTTGTGGGACACCAGGTATAATCGTCGCATCGATTAGTCAGCGATGTTATAATTTGATATTTCGGACGCTGGAAGATGTACAGGCTTTGTTTACATCTTGCGTCTTGTTTATAATTAATAATTTTATATTGAATTAAATCTTATTATACTAAATTGTACCAAATATTTATTTCGTTAATGCGCGTAAACGACGGTATATTAAATCGATTCATCTTCTCGATGCACAGAGATCTCTTTGGATTTAATAAAATATTTTTGATCGAGACAAATTTGTCTTTTGAAATGGAGCAAACAAATGTTTGGTTCACCAAATAGGATTGTTCGGTTTCTCAAACAATATAAATATCTTTATGTCAAATAACGCATTTCTAAAGTTTTCAAATATGATACACATTTTTTTTGTATTTTCATGCAAACATTACTATCAAACAAACCAAATAAACATGTCAAATGAACATAGTTGTTACAAGCAATGAGTTATTCGAAAGAATAGCACTATATTAAAAAAATATTAAAGAATTTCTCTTATATATATGAAATAAAATATTTTTTACTGAAAACCAAACATTATTTCGTCTAAGTAATACTGTTTTTTTCTATCAAATAATGTGGATTACTTCAGTGAAATAACATATTCATTAAAACCAAATAATACTCAATATTAAATAACGTAATTTGTATTAAACAAATACGCACACTAAATCCAAGAAAACCTTTTCCTCCTCGCGCGTACCGTATCGGAGCAATACGTCATCGTTTTGAAGCGCATCACTGAAATTGATGTAATTCATCCTGAAATTACCGTTTGATACGCGTATCAAACGATATGAGATCGTACGGTGTGAATCCGCATACGGTCGTGGTTTGACGACAAGTCGAGTGGGAACGCGAAAACGGAGCTGCGGGACCGGGCTGGCCGAGAGGCGAGGAGCAAACAAAGAGAGCTTTCGGCGAATGATCGGTCGCGGGAACGTGGACTCGTTCTCGAGACGGTGTGACTCGAGCGAGAAGCTGGCCTGCAAGGAGACGGTTTCTCACCCGGAAAAATTGGAAAGCAGTATGGAGCACATGAGGATTATAGCGCGTTGGTTTCTACGGCCGCGATTAGCGCGACCCTCGGCTCGCTACTTCGCTCGCGTCATCAACAAAATAATTATAGAACGTCCCACTGCGGACATTCGTGAGGACGACTCGAGATCGCAGGTGGCGTCTTCGATCGAACCGCCGCGCGCACTGCCGATTCACCTGCCGTCGTTTCCGCGCACTATTCGCGAGATTCGATTTCCTCCCCCGGGAGACTCGGCTCCTTCACTGGGAAAGAGGAAAACGGCGCGTCGAATTTCCGAGTTCGTCCGTGTTCCCCGCTCGGTCGTCTCGATTGCTGAATCGTTTTACTTAATCGATGTTTTCAATCGGCGTTTCGAGCGGAGCGTTTTCCAGCGCGAGAAACAAGAAGCGAAACGAATAACATTACGCGGTAGCGATTCGAGGATCGCTAATTGGCCGCAATTAAGAAAACGTGTGATTATCAGGCAGCAAAACGAGCAGCGCTTATTTTTAGACGCGCGAACGAATCAGCGAGCGAGACGTTCACGGCAACCACGTCGCCGACGGTTGCGAGCTCGGCTTCGCGACGAACGTTTCGTTACAGAAGCGATTACGGTACTGGTGGCTGCCGAAGCTCATTTGTTTCATTCTGTTACCCGGGATACGACCTAGTGTCTAAGAAGTACGCCGGTGTGAAAATTTCAAGGGCTCTCGTCGCTCCCTGCCCGTTTAAGACCGCACCGCGGAAACCAGTGGCGGCTCTTTTATACCGGGTGTCGCGGAAAACGCGAGCTCGAGAGGCTTCAGAATTCCGCGATTACAGGGATTTACAGGTCGAAGTGTATGTACAAGTATCGGTGTGTACGTGTGAACGTGTCTGCGTGTGTGGCCGCAGGTGTGAGAGAAGACAGTTCGATAGAGTAAAGCTAATTACAAGCTTTGTTTTCTAAGCCTATTTTCTAAGAAAAATAAGAAATCAAGGCGGAGGAATCTTCCAGTGAGTAAAGCGCCGGGATCGCGAATTTATCCCTCCCGTAATGAATTCCAAGTGGATTTCAGCTTTAATTGGAAATTTGATGGAGATTTTAATGATTAAGATAACCGACATTGAAGATCAAAAGTGACGAGACGCGACGACGGTTCTCGCAAGTAGACAGAATTTCCACGGGGGTGGCGGCGGTGGTGTATTCTCGTTTACCGGTTTCCCCCTCTCTTTTTCTCTCTCTCTTTCCACCTGAGACACCCTGTGCACACAAGTTTCATGACGTCAGTAGCGAGGAAATCTCGCTCGACCTGTCGACTTTTTCGCGGTGCTTGTCGCCGCGATAAAACAACTCACCTATTTACGGCAAAAGGAACCGCGCGCGTCTACTGCAACGCGTTTCTTTCCTGTGTCTTTTTGTTAGCACACAATACAATTTCCGATCTCGTTTGATGACACCGTTACGCGCTGTGCTTAAATAATAACGTCCGATATCGATCGAATCTCGGCGGTTTTGGGAAAAGATACAATAAGTAAAATTTCGCGAGGCAATTTCGTCGAAGCCAACGAATATGTTTGAGCAAAATGGATTCTATAAAAAATTTCCGATATCACGAACAGCGTGAAGTATAAAAATTCGAATGGAAATCGTTTGCTAATTACTTCGGTTTCGCATTTAATCCGAAATTACAGAGTCAAAACTTCGACACAGTTACTTTTCTCTTGACATATCCCGTGCAAGACGTACGAGAGAAGCAGAAAACGCCAACATTTTCTTACGTAACAACGGTGAGATGCAAAGTTTCTTCTCTCGTCTTGCGAGAAAAAGAGAGAGAGAGAGAGAGAGAAGTGCTTTTTGTCTCGGAAAAGAAAGTTCAGTGTCGGTTGGTTTCGGCGTGACAAAAGGTATTCGAGGTAGAAAGATTAGATCGGCGGATACAGACAGGCGTATATTGAAACGGCGCGGATTCAAAGAGGATCAAAAGCGGAACGTTTTCGTTTGGGCCGTCCATTATCGGCAGGAGAACTAAACGTGAAAGCTATCAAAAGCTCGCGCGAATTCCATCTTCCGCGGAACGATATCTCGCCGAACGGCTCGCCGAACGCGCCTCTCTTATCGATCCCACCGTGAAATTTACCTTCGCACACGATCCGACGCGGATCGTACCAGCGGAGAAAGTCGACGCGAATTCAGGTATGACGTGGCGGAAAATTGCGGTGGAAACGCGGAAACGCTTCATTTTTCCGAGCGTTGCGTCCTTCAACGCGTGCGGCAATAACTCGCGAGAAGGCAGCGGTGTTTGTGCAACTCTGTACTCAGTCTTCTTCAATTAAATTTATATAACTCTGACTTCATTGTCTCCGCAATGTGTAATTTTCCATCCATTTTAACGAATCGGACGATATATAATTGCTAATTAACTTGTAATTTTGAAAAAGAAAGCGCCTCGTTCCATTTGATCAGCGTGAAGCATTGCTTTCAACACATGCCTTTAACAGTCAAACGCGTGTCTGCAAATTCTTCGTCTTTATTTGATGCGTCAAAATTCACAAAATTCACGATACCCGGGTAGAAATTTCAAACGGGGACTGGAAAGGCCCTACACAATTTTTCCCCGCTAATATCTAAGCCTTGTAAAAACAAGTCTACTTAGGCCTACACAGAAACTGAAAAGGTTCATGAAAATTAGAACCTAATTAGACAATGCGGTAGAAGTATGGAGCGATTTTCGAGCGGAAATTAAAAACACTCTTTTCCAAGTTTAACCTCGGTAAAAGAACAAAGATATGAAAAAAGAGACAACAAAATTGCGTAAAATGTATCAATATTAACACGAATAAGCGAAAAGAGCGGAAAAATTGCGCGCGCAATTCGCACCGATGAAAATTCCTGCCGAGAGCCCCGGCGGCTTGTGCAATTGACAGAAGTTTTACGCTCCGTGGAATGATACACCTTAGAAGAGAAATAGTTTCTTAAAAACCGAGCGCCCGGAAGATCCCCATAATCGACAAAGTTCCAGCGCGCGCGTTCAACCCATTTTACGACTACCTAGAACCATTACATACTTACATGCCGCCTTGGCACGCCCGATTAATTTCTACCTGAGCAGTTATGATTACGTCGGACGTAAAAATAATTTCAGAGCACTGTTTACGTAGCAACGAATCGATAATTCATCGATTTCGCTCACCTCGCCGACGAGTTCGATGCCGCGAGCGATGCGCAAAAGCCGAGGAACGTTTGGCGCGCGCGGTGGAATAATCCGCCGAACGAGAAGCATTTCCACACTCGCTGTCGCAACCGTTCGGTGCCGCTTCCTAGTATGAAATCGAAAGGCCGGCCGATCGCGAGCGTGTCGCGAAAGGAAACGGGAACGGTGAAAACCGTGCGCGCACACACACACACTCGCCGCCGTCTAAATCCACCGCGATTATCGATTTCCCACCCACGTATCGCCACGTGGAAAAGGCCTTTGTGGCAATTCGCCCTTCGCTCGACCGGCGGATCAGAGCAAAGCGCGCGCTCCACCTTCGCCGTCGGCAGCCGGAAACACGCGACTTCGTCGGACGGAGATTGACACCGGTCGCGCGGAGATTCTCGTCGTGTGCGGATTCGATCGTCGCCGGGGCTACGCGATAATGACTTTCGTGTTTGCTCGTGGCAAGCAAGTCAACACGACCGCGATGGCAGTCACCGGTGGCCGGCGTTGTGATCTCCTCAGGTCTCGTTAATTTGCGCCTGAGGTGTGATTAAATTACACCTGACCTGATCAGATATGTGGTCGACAGAAAGCTGAGAAAATCAGCTGACGAATATATACGACAGCAGTGCTACCATCCGGTCATTTAAGTCACCTTTCGTCCCTTTTTCTCGACAAGTCACTAAAAATCTGCGATATCATCTAAAATAGGTGACTCTAATCACTTTTTTCCCGAGCTGTCGTTAAATCTGTAAAATATTGGTGTTCCACGTATTTTTTTGCCGTCTCGTCCGCTGCCGATTGTATCATTTATGCCCCTGGCATAATCTTTCCTTGTTATGAACATTTAAACCGTGTTATGAAAGAAACTCGCTGCATTAAGTCAACCAAAGATAAACCTGGGAAGAGCAAGTGTTATTTTTTTGCTTACATGGTCTTGATTACGCATCGAAATTTTTATGCTACTTTGACGCTCTTATGGATTGTTTGCGCCCCCTTAGATGGTATAGATTAATAAAAACCTACTTTAACGATACTCATACTTTTTACTTCTCTTTGGAATCTTTAATTCTACAAAATTTTTACCTTCAACAACCTATGTTGATGTCAAAATAGCGGAAACAGAAATCAAATTAAGAATATAATTATATTATTACAATTGAAGTCAAATCTATTTCGTTATTTTTCTTATCTTAACTCCTACTGTGTTGTAGAATCAAAGGTTTAACATAAGATCTCGACTTGGATACTTTCGCAATCTAACAAAAATAATGTCATTTTTAGTCACTATTTTGATGCTTGTGCGATCACTTTTGTCACCTTTTCGCCAAGAAGCAATCGTTATTTCAGGTTTTTGTCCCGGTGACTGGACGGCAGCGCTGCCGTCAGGAAACACATGTATTTACCGAAGCCTCGCTTATTCGAACTTCTATCGAGCTCTGGAACAATCCATGGAAATCACTATGGCAGTCAATGTGTCAGACGCCACGTTCGCCGCGTTAAAGTTTCATCTTTACTCGAAATCTCGTAAAAACTGAACTCACTCATGATCCCATTGATCTCAACGCATCGACTGCCGCGATGATATCGGGGCTCGTTGTACGAAAATTTAGCCGACGATCCATTTCACTAAGCTATGACAGCTATGACTATAATTCGTATATATATCTTTCACGTCGGTTTCATCGGCTACTGTATTAGCGGTGGCATCGGCTCTTTAAATGCAATTAGTTCTACTCTGTACGTAATTTCATGAATCGCGGTATAGTATCACAGGACCGATCACCGGTGACTGTCACCGACGTTCAGTATGTTAATTTCCGAGAGAGATGTTAATCGCGGAACGAGCCGCAGGGACTCTTCGTGACGCTGGTATCTGTTGTATCGATGTACCGCGTCGCTCGGTTCGAACCCGCATGTTTTATTCCGGACGATTATCTCGTGAATGAATGATCGCGAGATGAATAATTTCGAAGGGACTGGCGAAAGGGACAGGAGGACGGGAAAGAGCGCGCGCGACGTGTGGAAGCGTTTTACAAATTTACCGCATTTAACTTCTCCGAACGACGCATCCCAGCCCCGGGGCTTTCCAAGTGCTCTCGGAATGCATTAACGGGCGCGCTCGTCGGAGCCGCGATGGAAATTCGCGGGAGATTGCGATCTTCAGAGAAAACCGATTCGGCGGGAAAAATGGAGGGGNGGGGGGGGGGGGGGGACAGAAAGGAAGAAAAGAGAAACTGGATTTACAGCCGGGCGTTCACGCGCGGCCGCGCACTTTCTTGCCCGCCGCGACGCCCGATGCGTAATTAATGCAGCGGATGCGCGATAACGACGAGTTATCGCTCCGGATTTCGAATAGAGCAGCGAACACGCCGTCCCGCCGAGCCGGCCGGGGCTCGCGACGGTGAAGGTGAAGTGCGTTGAACCTGAACCGTTGCTGAAACGCCCTGTACTCACAGCCAGTGCACGCTCCGTGTCTGTTTACATACCTGGCTTCGGCTACTAGTTCGAGAATGCCGCGGAGAACGGTTGGAACGGACGATGAAGCGGGGGGAGGGGGACGGGGGGGGGGACGATATAGCAGGAAATGAAATATCGATGTACCTGTGCGTGCACGTATATCCTACGGTGGAGAAACGCCATTACGTTAATCATCCATCCCTTCCCGCTCTCTATTCGGAAGCCGCCGGGAATTTCTTTTCCTTTCCTCTCCTTTTCCCTCCTTCTCTCCCCTCCCTCCTTTTCCTTTTTTCCCTTTCGTTTCGGCCAACCTGCGATCTCCGGCTCGAAACGCGAGTCCCGACCCTTTCGCAACCTTGCTCGCATGCAGCGAAACCGCGCCGTGATCAACCGTTTGTCAACCGTGCGCGTTCCGTCGCCGCGCAGAAATATTATGCCGCGCGCGCGCGCCTCGCCAGTGTGATTTATATCGCGGCGTTATACAGGATGTGCCGTGAACACGACTGCCTTTCTATTCGCGGCTTCTCACCAGCGATTTTCACGACCTCAGCTTCCAGCTTTTTCCTTTTTTAATACTCGACGTTGAACGATCGAGGAACTAAACTTGAAACTCTCGACTTCCGTCAGGGTAGATTTGAACGGTACGCGTGGGGAGTCGATGTTTCACTCGATTCTATCGTACTTCCCGGATCGATTTTATCCAGAAATAACCGATTCCGCGCTTATCGAATAAGCGTCCTGCTCGGAAGGCGGCGGACTCGGGTGGACATCCTGTATAAGCGCGGTTTCTCGCTAAATACCTCCTGCAACGCTAACGCTCGGCCTCCCATGATCGTCCCCGAGACGCGTGATAATCAAGACGATGAAAACTAGTGAAGAGAGAAAAGAGAATAGGAAGATATTCGCGTCTCGGAGACGTCGTATGATTAGCGCGTCAAAGAGAGAAAGAAAGAAATAGTGCGGTCGACCTGGTCCTGGGCATGTCGGCCCCGAGACCGCTGTCCTCGCTCGGCGACCTATACTCCTGGTTATCCCGCGGCAGAAGTGGGCCCGTCACTCCCAGCGGATCTCCCTCGACGTCCACCAGTCGTCCCGGACGGCAACAACCACCGGGCACACCCCTCTGCGAGAAATCAGATCAGATGTCCTGTCATGCCGTGCGTCCTTTCCGTTTTTTTCATATATTTTTTTAACTTTTTTGTAATTTTTTATCGCGCAGAGAGTGCTCTCTTTCTTTCTCAGATTTTTCTTGCGGCTTTCTTGTTTTTTCTTCTTTTTCTTTCTTGTATTTTCGGCATGCCTCGAACGAGGTGCGATCGGCCGATCGATGATTCGCGTCAGCTCGTCCGACAGCGAGACGTATTTGCGCGGGATCGCACTCTCGCGGCCCTCGATCTCATCGAATGCCAATTAATAACGGCGGACGTGCGAGAGTCGCTTTACTTTTTTAGAATCCCGCGGGGATAACTTAATAATTGCGTTAGCGTCGAAACCGAGAGCGGGGATTCAATAAATTTAAATGGCAGTGGGAATAATTGAGTGACCCGATTGAGTAAATCACTATTTAATTAATGCGAAATTAACAGGGTGCACCGAATAGTATTGACAATAATCGGGATAACGAAAATTAAATCAAATTCCGGCTAACTGAATTGGTAAGAAGTGTGTGCTTTTATTACTATCGCAAGCGACTGTGCGGTGCATATTCGGAAAGAAAAAAAAAAAGAACAGTTTCCAGCGTGCGTCCTTTGTGTCCGGATCCTTTTGTCTCCTCAGGAAAGGTGCGTCGGGCCGCTTGACGCGGCTCGTTAATTTCGGGCATCGATCAGTCCGGCTCTCATTTAAGTCTCAGCGAGCTATTGTGGCCCGAGCGCCGGCGAAATTAGCAATCGAACAACCATCTATCATCGATCGACGTGTCGCGCGTCGTTCCGCCGGCAACATTTGTCTCCGTGCTGCAGCTGACACTTGATTTACGACGCCGGCCGCGCGGCGCCTTCCGAACTTCCCTCCGAAGATCGCGAGAATCCGCGATCGGCGGCGCCGTGAATCAAGCGTCGGGCCCGTCGGCCCGATTTCTTTCGATCGGATGAGAAGAGGAAGAAGATGATGGTCGTGACGGTGAAGAAGAGCAGCTCGCGAAAAACCCGCGCGAAACAATCTTCGCGGTGGTTTATTTTACCTCGAGTGTTGTTTTTGTGACAATCAATTAGGTTCGCGAGATCGCGAAAACGGAAGCGGATTTCATCCCGACTTCGTCGATGCTGTTTTTCGCGAGAGAAAGACAGAGAGAAAGAGAGAGAGGGTGAAAGATGGTGTCTGTCTAGCGCATAGAGCAGCTTTCTACTTGTCCGTTTGCAGCAGGCATCTAATAGATCGTACCTAGCTAAAATGGGAAGGAATGCGTGTGCGAGATCGCGTTGCTCATCTTCGTGACGAGAAATAATAACAATAATACTTTATTGGCGCCAAAGGTATATTAAGAATGTTCGTTTTCTATTTTCAGAAATGCAAACGATTGTTGTTGATTGCGACAATTTACGTTCGAGTAACAACGTCCCTCATAACGTAATTGCAATTGCGTGTTGTAATTATGTTATAACGCATATTATAAAATTTACGTGTGTGCGATTCATATGTGCGATCGGCCGATAGAACAAAATTTACGTTACATTTGTGTAATTTGTACATTACATGTGTAACATAAATTATATTAAATTATACTACATACGTGACACGCGTAAATTTTATTATATGTAATATAAATTATCTGAGATATATGTGGAAGGTATGAATNTATAGAAATTAATATAAATTATTCAATATAAGCTGCAGTTGTAGCAATTATAATTATGCAACATAATGATAAAATAGAGTGACACCCGACGCTTTGCCGTCGACAGTTGATCAATTCCTCCGACATGGCTTAATGTGCTAAGCGTGATTAATCAAAAACGTGCACTTCCTTCGTTCAATTAGCATTAAGGAAGGAAAAGAAAGCAAGTAGACGTCGAAGGAATCGATTCTCGAGCTTGCCGACAAACACTGGCTAGTCGCAGGGAGCAAGGTAGCGGCATTATAAGCAAGACTGTAATGAATAACAGTAATAGCGTTAGAGAGAGAGAGATAGATAGATAGAGAGGTGAGAGCAAGAGCCACAATAAGAAGTGTGAGAAGCAGAAGTTAATGCCGATAGCATAAATTTGAGAGAAATAGAAAAAGAAAGAGTGACAGGCACGCCGAGAAAAATCAAACCGCTTGGCCGAACGAAGCTCGCATGAGCATGTACCATGTCTATCGAACAAACGGCATAATTAATGCGGCAAATTAATGATCAGTTCGTTGATAACGATCACGCGATAACTCGTCGAGAAATGTGGGAAATCATAGCAGTGGAACATATGAGAAGGAACAAATAGAACGAAGCATTCGCTTCTAGAAGCTGAGCAACTACAACTACGGGAAAAAATGTGTTGAATCAGTAGAACTTCCGACGGTATGCGTGATTGGTGTAAATCTTCTTGATTCGATAGCGATAACGTTGAAACTAATATTTTAATATTTTAACTATTGAAACGATACGTAACGTAATAGTTTTCATTTTTTTTTTTTTATATTTGCCATTGAATCAAGAATATTTACGCTGCTGTTGGAAATTTTACCGATTCAACAGCATTTTTTTTCCGTGTATACGTGAACTGAAATTTTAGTTCCTCATTAACCTTGCAAATTCATTTGTAGTAACAATGTATTTTGAGACTTCTCGATAATCCTTCGAATTTGACGGAATTTACAGGGTTAATGTGGGATGAAAATTTCCATTCAAAACAAAAGGAGGCGAGAGGAATAGACGCTCGCCTGGGTGCGATTGATTAGTCTTCTTCCATTTTTCACAGTACTTAATTATTATGCCTGTTGAATTAGATTTGGTGCACACCGTTTAGATTGTACACATCGAATCTCCCCCATACGTTCAACTTAATCACACGAGCCGCACATCGGAACTAATATATTAACGTTAACGTTAATGTTAACGGTGAAGGTTTACGCTCTTCTCTCGGATCTGTGCAGTGATTCGCATAAACTTCGCGCGCGCAACAACAAATGGATCGAGTGAAAACGTCGCAATTTATCATTATAATTGTTAACCCGATGGAAATTGCGAGAAAGAAATTGAACGCCGCGTCAGCGCGCCATTTGTTCAACGAACTTGATATTTTCCTCCGATGAGAGGGAGTTTTGTTCATCCGAGCAGCTGTTATTCTCTCGGTGCGGAGAGAGAAACAGAGAGAAAGATAGATAGATAGATAGATAGATAGAGAGAGAGAGAGACGAGGGGGTTGCAAGTCACTTTCTTAAAGACGAGTCATGCTTCGTCGTGGAGGATAACGACAGAGCAGAACGATCAAACGGAATCTCGAATAGGATCGATCGTAACGGCGATCGATGCACGCACGCGTGCGCATGCTGCCCGCGAGGACGCGGGGATTCTTTCGCGAACGGCCTCCAGGAGGATCTGGAATCCGGGATCTTCCACGGCCGTTCTCCAAGAGCGTCTTCCTCCGTGTGGCGTTCTCCGTTACCTCCTCGCACCTCTCCAATCGATACTCAATCGCGACTTATCCATCCTTCCTGGCGACCGCCTGTGCGCTCTCTGTGCGCCGATAACGAGCGATAACTTCGGCTCCCAAATCGACTTCGTCCGTCGTCCGCTTCTTACGCTCATCGCTCGGATCGATCCTACGGGCTCGTCGCGCCGAAATTGCGTGCGGAAATTCGTCGTTCGTGCAGAAACAAAAAAGAAAAATATCGTATTTTCTCAACCCCGCAAATTTCGTCATTTCGCAGGTTTGCGAATTTTTGCGACGACGCTAATGCGACGTTTTGCACCGCGAAATTATTTCCCGCAGCTCTCCGTCGCAAACACGCGTGTGTAACGTTTCAGATTATTACGGAACAATTGTAGAAATTGTCGCAAATTGTTGCGAGAAATTGAACGCACCGTCGGAATTTCATTGCGAAGTTAACGACTCGCGCGCGCGCGAACAATTTTTCATCTCGAGCGGAATAGATAGAGAGTCGTGGCGAGAGATAGAACGGCGCGAAATGAATTGCTCGCCTTTTAATCGCGACGGATATTCCGGATTACGCTTGCAACTCTGCCGTGATAAATCACTCGCCGTTAAACATTTATCCGGGGTTAACTTTCCGTTAGTCAAATAAGTTAGTCTCGCTCATTCTCGCCCGGGGAAACGACGATTCTCCTAATAGCGCAATTTTCAATTAGGAACGCGCGTGCGCGTCTCAACGAGGGTTTCTCGTAGCGGGGAAGCTCTTTTCCCTTTGTCACTTTTTTCCCGCGGAGTCCATCGACAAAGGACGGGCACGCAAAGCGATTCCGAGTGTCTCAACAACTAAGGTGAACAGAGATCCACAGAACAGTCAGTGAGGAAAAAAGAGAAAGAGAGACGCAGAGAGATAGAGATAGATAGATAGATAAATAGAAAGAGAGAAAGTCAATTCCATACATCATCGTGGAAAGACGAGAGTGACGAGCGAAGAAGGTGTAAGTGTGTCTTGTCGCGTGTGTGTACACGCGTATAACAATACGCGGAAACGCACGCGTCTGATATTCAGGATATTCGTGTGTGTGTGTGTGTGGCTTTGTGTAGGCTCGAAGTGAATAAGAATGTTGTAAGAATGAATCAAACTTACCGGAAGATCGTGCAGCGAGGGAGTCACTATCAAGTCCGAGTGAGCGCGGTCGCCTTTTCTCTAGAAAAAGCAGAAAGAGCCGTCTTAAAGGCGAGCGTTGCTGCCGGGCTTCTGGCTTTCTTCGACTTCTCCAACACTACTCTGCTTAATCGCGCGATTCACGTCGGCGAGACGGCGTGGCAACTACATCGAGACAAGCAGTGCGTCCTTTCCCTCGACGGGTTCTCGACGAGTTTTCGCGATTTCAAAGATGCACCGTGATCGTTCGAGCTTTCACGGACATGAACGCCTTCACGGTTTTCGTTTTGTTATAAGTTGTTATAAGTGTTACAGTGGTAGTAGCGATGTAATGCGTCTCCAGTTCTCTTTCGTTGTTAATTACATTCACGTTAATAGTTCGTTACTTCACACCTATTTCACACGAGACTTTCTTAAAGAATTTTAGATCTCAGAGGAGATCCGTCATTTTCTAAGAAAGAAATCTTTAAGATAAAATTCTCCAAGAAAATATCGTAGGTCTTAGAGAAGTTTGTTTCCCGCGAGCTCTTCAACTTTGTTGAGTCTCAGAATCGCGTTGGGGAATTTCGCGATTTGATTAGCGCTATTAATTAGGAACTCCCTTCGCCTCGGAACGAATACTTATTAGCGTTTCGGGGTGAAAATCGATTCGTAAAGACTCACCCTGGCCATGGCTATTCGGGGTCTTCTGTAGACGAGATAGTCGAAGGCCTTCCTGTCCTCGCTGTCGACGAGCTCCGTGAGCTCCGTCAGCAGCGTGCGTTTCTCGTCGGTGTTTAGGAGGTTGTCCAGGCTAATAACCAGGTCCTCCACTGTCAGCCTCCTCGTGCTGTAGTCCGCCAGGAGCTGGGAGAGCGCGGCTCTCTCGCTTCGGGCGAGGACGACTCTCGCTTTTTCCTCCACCATGGCAGCGGTATCCGCCGAGACGGTGTGAACGCCACCCCGGTGTCTCCACTCTTTCGTGCTGCTCCTTGATTTCCGACAGATCGACGGGTGATTAATTGGCTCGACGTTACGTAGAAATAATATTGAAGTGAGACGAGAAGAAACAAGTTATACGTATAATTCAATCGACAAGAGCGAGATTCCGCGTTTGGAATTCGATTTGCTCGAAGCTATCGGTTGGGAGGATTAGTTCATTGCGGAATTAAAACGTTCAATCGAGAAAGGTGTGTCGTTAAGATTTATAGTGAAAGCGATTTGCGCAACTTCTCTCGCGGAGGTTTACCTTAATTAAACAAGTTTTTCCCAACATTCACGACTTTCGATCGATGAATATCCCTTGGCAGATATTCTCACATCCTTGCAACGAACTTAATTGCGATTACTAATCAAGCAACCGGTATTGCATCATACTTATCTCTTGATCCTCCGTATGATTCGTGGGTCATTTGGGGGATAATAAACATTTGAATTGACTATAAAATTGGATCGAATCGAGAGTGAAATCTGGAATTTCTATTCAAGGAAATAGATAATAAGGAGAACCTATACTTTTATGCGCAATAATTTCCGTCAATTTATTGAGAAATTGCGAGCACGAGTAAAGTCACGAGTGTTCCCGAAATGACTCACGAATCACACGAAAAACAGCGAATCATAAATCGAATTATTCGGAGCAAAAGTAGGAAACAAAAAAATATGGAATTTATTGGTGGTGAATAATTTGGAATTTTGCGCCGCAGGATAAACGTGTATCTTTAGCTTCGTTTAACTACACGAGTATGTTATGCAAATGTTAATGCCGGCGCCGGTTAAGCAGTGGGAATGGGACATTCTCTGGAATTCGCATTACTGCTCTGACTATGGACAGATTTAGACTGACTGCGTAAAACTGATTTAGACTGACCAGCTTTCGCGCTCTCCGCCGCTATTATTTATAGGGGAAACAAAGGAAAATCGGGAAATACTTTTCTAACCGCGGTACTCTTTGAGTGGTCTGTTCTTTATAGCTGAACTGGCTGCACTAGTTCGAGAAATTTACACACACATTGAGGCGTATGTGTTGTACCTATGGCCTTTACCTGTTTTTTCAAGCGGTCAATAATGATGCACGTCATAAAAGGTATTTGCAACTTACGCGGGACTGGGTGGACGATGATTCCCAGGACTCTCCAGGAGTAAAGGATCGTGCTCGGGGTATCGGGAGGATGGGAGCACTATGGACTGGTTGGTGGTACACGAATGAGGCACCTTGCCAACATCGCGTATCAGCAGGCTCATTCTCTTGTTTGTCTTGAGGAACTGAACCGCCTCGTCGTGCGTCGCCTCCTCGAAGCTCTGTCCGTTTACCTCGATGATCTGATCGCCTACCTGCGATCATTTCAGAACGTCGCGGTTTAATTAGAATCCACTACGAAATAATACAAAATAAATCATATCAAATTCGAGCAATCCAATTAGCAACCGATTCCAACCCGCGTTTCAAGATTACCTTCGTTGATTTTATTTTTATGGGGCTACACAATTATTCTTATATATTCACAGTAAAAAATTTTGTCTTAAAAATGGTCCAGTGAAATTTTTGTCACTTTAACTAGGTGAATGTGTTAAAAGATAACACGTCAACAGGAGGAATATTTGTTTATTATATTTATTATTATTTATAATTATAACGTTAATTTAACATATATTTGTGCACTTCTTAACGACTCTCCATGTTAAAATGACCCAAAATTTTTTACCGTGTTCCTCCTTTCTACTCTTTCTATCATTAAACGGATATCAAGGCGAATTCGATCGTCAGCAACCGCATTTTTCAACTTCCTAAATTCCAATCTTAATCAATAATTTTTCCTTCTAATCAAGAATGTTTAACTTCAATTTTTCTTCCTCCGCACATATTCGCCTTGACCTCCGCTGACGGTCAAGGGCCTGTCGAGGTCTCGAGAATTCGCGAGGGATGTGCAAGATCGTGATTCTTACGAGAAGACCGGCGCGGTCGGCGACGCTGTCCTTGTCGACGCCCGTCACGTAGATCCCGAGGCCGTATTCCAGGCCGCCGCGTATCATCAGGCCGAGGGATTGGCCGTGCTCAATGCACAGCTCTACCTTCCGCGTCCTCGGCGCGTAGCGGGGATCGCGAGGTAGATGAAAGATCGGCGGCGAGGTCGGCCGACCTTGACGGTCCATCCAGCTGCAGGACTGACGACCCGGGGATGACCACATGGCGTGGGGGCCCCGACAGCGGGGATCCAACGCGGGTCCTCGCACCGTCATGCTCAGGGTCTTACAGGACTTCAGCATCTGTCGAAAACGACATCGCGGAGTCGAGGCGTGGGTTGTTCGAGAGTTAACGCGCGGGCTGTGATTTCGCTCTCTCGAGGGAAACGGAGAACGTCGCGTATACTTCTCGTTGATTTCTTCAGGGTTAACGATCAGAACTTGAAATTTAACTCCCGGACGATTCTTTAGTGATTTTAGAATAACACGAGAAGAGTAGACAATAAGGAAACATGCACATTTGTAGATACAATAATTCTAGGACGCGTTTCGTTTTATTTATTGCCGAAAACAGGAAGTTTCCGACGATGGATAACAAGAGAATCGGACGTCTCGTTGCCGGGTTTTCTCCAAAATACACGGCAGGGAAGTGCCGGTCAGTGGAGGGAAGTGGGACGCGCTCGAAATGGCTCGTTTCGTAAAAGCAAAATCGGCGAAGTTAACGAAGAACGAACGATGCGTTTCGCGGTGACGCCACTCGGCAGCCAGGATATCGATCCTCCTGCCAGCGCCCGTGACGTCATATCCTGCCTATCCTTGACCCAGCCCGGACCCACGTCCTTAGGATCCCGCGATTCGGAAGACGCGGGTCTTTTTCTCCCTCTCTCCTTCTTTCTCTTTTTCTCTCTCGCGCGGTCCCTCGTAACTCGTCCTTCTTCCGTCGCGAGCGCGGGGAATTTTTCCCGGTGTCGAGGAAAACGGCTTTCCCTCTCGTCATAACGCCGGATGCCGCGGAGTAAGGGAGCGTGAAACTGTCGTTTCGTTTTTGCGACGATACGCCGATGCGCCCCGACGGAGTTGGCGGATGCGTTTTCGCGACGATCCCCATGAATACGCTTCTACGAGAATGGAAGAAAAAGCAGCCCATAAACCGCGCCTCTCTCGTCTTCCTCGGTTTTATCCATTTTTTGCCTCATAAACTACTCCATGCAAATTGGATACGCCGGTTTACGCGAGGAAGACAGCCGAAAATGAAATTTTCAAAATTCCAACAGCGGTCTTTGTGAATTTTTAATATACTTCACGCGCCCGGTATTTCGTAGATGATTACTTTATGGGGAAAAAAGCGGTGAAAATATTCGCTATGTATTTTCCCTCGGTTACACGCTTCATCAGTAGTTGTTTTAAATTTTCTTCGTCACATAACAGTGGCCGATGAAAAATTTATATACACGCTGTATAAAATTGATATCGGTCGCATTATCAGTTAACAAAGAGCAAAATTCGGAGAAATTGCCTGGATATATAACAGAAAGGACAAGTCCCTATCTCTCTTTAAATTCCTATTAATTTCAATTAACGGTAACACTTATTCGCCTTCAATTCATCATTTCCAAATTTATTTCGTTAAACGCAAATATAATTTCTCCGATTATCACCTACCTCGGCTGACAATTATCACCGTTGTCAATGAAAAACGTAAGGGTGAATGTATCCATGAAATCCTCAAGATACTAATCTTTCTTTCAGGCGAGTCTTATCGCGTAGTATCGCGTACGAGGGAAATTAATGTCGGACACGGTGAGAGTACCGACCTAGAATAGACGAAGGGCCAAGAGAAAGTGGCGCTTTCGTGATCGGCGTCCGTCTCCGGCTCACCAATTAAATAAATAATTCATGGGGGAGGGAACATCGACCGTCGAAGCAGCGGCAGGAGCGATTCGGCCAGCGCAAGTCGAACCGGACGAGAGTATCGTTATCGCGTCGGCAAGGGCCCCGTCGCTATTTCCGGTGCCTACGTCACCCATGTCGGCTTACGAGACAGAGAGAGAGAGAGAGAGAGAGAAGTTTGCGTGCACGTATTTCGATTGTCTGAAGGCGACCGTGTCCGCGTCGCAGTTGGTCCGCGAGTTATGGTGCCATCCGGCGGATATCGTCCCGATCGCTCTCGCCGACGAGAAATCTGCGCTTTCTGGGTCAATCGCGAAACGAATCGACCCTCTTTCTCTCTCTCTCTCTCCGATCGCGTGTCCTCGCTCATTTATGATAATCCCGGGGTATATCCTGGAGTCAGCTTTTGTGTCGAGTCTACGGTGGAGTTTCTCCTTCCTCCTCTTCGTTTCGACATTGGGAGAGGGAGATTATTCATCCTCGGGATTATCGTCGAGCGAGAATCGTCCCGTGTCGTGGGATTCGGGAAAAGCTGAATTTCGGATAATTTTGGAATTACTAATCACTTATCGACGGTCTTCTTCTTCGTCGAGGCTGAAAAATGATGCCTCGAGCACGAACAGCTCGACGATAAAATCTAAGATCTTTTAGTTTCCCGTTTCCTTGTTTATTTTTTACTCTCGGTTTTCTGTTATCATTTATATCCAGCAGCAAATTTTTCGGAGAGATATTTCCCACGAGATATGTTCGTGGCATTGGAACTTCGTCGATAACTCTCGTGAACGTTCCGCTTCTACATCCATTCAAATATTATGTTTGACTTTGAAATTTGTTTAAAACTTAGAAGAACAATTACCGGAGAGATATCACCAGGTCTCGAGCGGACGTTATGCGATTAAAAAGTGCGAGAGCATCAATCGAAGTTACTTAAAACTTCGTGGAAACACAGTTTCTTGAAAAGCAAAGACAAGATCGCAGGATGTAGCGCTCCTCCGTGAAATTATCCGCGCGAATCCCGCGACCCTGTCCTGGCAACTTTATACGAAAACTTTCAAAGAGGCTACAAATCCCGAGGAGCACGAGCGATATTTAGTTAGCCATCATCAGCCTTTCTCCTTTCAGGAGGGAGCCACATCCGCGGAAGTTCCGTGTATATTATGTAAACAGAATAAATGACAGGGGGTTCGCCCGGAGGACGCCGGGCTGGCTGGCGCCGTCGCGTCGTCGTCGTCTTCGTCGTCCTCGTCAAGCAGGCCGGACACGGCCAGGAAAAGGCAGCAGGACCTCCTTCGCCGAGCTCCACGTTGTTTGTCTACGTGCTCCCGGTGCTGTTCGTGAGCATCTCGACGAGCCATTACGAGATAACGAGCCGCGCCGCCACCGTTATCCTTTACGACCCGTTCACCGTCGAACCGAGAGCAATTTAATCCGGTTCACGACTGATCGATGCCGGACAGAAGCGAGGCTCGCCACCCCGGGCCGGACCTCGCGGTCGATCGGACGCGATGTCGAAATGATAGGAATTGAAATATCATTTCGACGGGAGCTCAATATTTCACGTACAGATAGGGACAAACCGCGATGCGTACTCCGTCGAGCGCAAAAGCCGGCGATGAAACAAAAATCGGAAGGGAGGGAACGCGCACGGGAAAAATGGATCGGTCGAATTAATGTGACACGACATAACCGAGCGCGTTTTCATGGAAGGAAACATAATTTCTGCTTCTTACGAAGCTAATTGGATTCTTTAGGCAATTCGTCGAGTTTGATCGAATATAAGATAAACCCGTAATATATACATGATACGAAAGTTAATCGAACTAACCACGCGTAGCAGGAATTTCAATAATCTATCGTGTCGTGTCCGAGACATTTGATTGTGAACTTATACAAGCGTGCAGGCATGGAAACCTCATAAAACACGAAATTTCGTCTAATTTGACATATTTATGTATAAAATAGAGGTTAAAAAAAACTATTGTAATATTAAAGACTAATATATAGATGTTATAGACAAATTTCAAAATTATTGACCGTTTCGCTTCGAAAATACAGAAATGGAAAGTTTATAATTTACAGTAATATTCAAGATATAGACGTGTAAACATATATTTAAATACTTATATATACTTCTTTTTATTATCTGCGCATTTTTATTAAATCAGCTGATGCATAAATATAGCATAATAAGGAAAATAAAAAATATTTTCATATATGTAATACTAAGTATATATATTTACTTCGGCTCCGTTTCAAATTAATACTTATTATTTGGTTAGTGAAATAGATGTATAGAAAAGAAATTTTGCTTGATAAATAATAAATTTATGAGAGGAGCATTCCTTGATGTGCCATTGGAAATATAGCACTTACCATTATAATCTCCTTAAAAACCGCCAAAACGCGCTTGGTTACATCGTGTCGCGTTAATTCAAACAAAGTCTTTATCGCCGGCTTTTTTCTTCCGTGCGATATCGCGGACCGAAAAAATGCGGGCGAAGGCGTGTAATGAATAAATCAGAGGGCCGCTTTTTGTCCTGCGAAAAACAAAGTCGTTTTCCGTGTCTTGATTCGATCATCTCTTAACTTGGCGGATTCAAAGCGGAGGACGCGAAATTGAGGGACACCGGCGAAATGGAGAAATATCAATAAGCGAAATCGCGTCTTAGAGGACCCGGTCTGGAGACGTTTTGAATCGAAGGCTCGACGTAAGTGCATTTATACGGAGAGACATTTGTGGGACGAAGTGGGCGCAATTTCGTCTGGAAATACGGCGAAGTGCAGCTTACGTAAACTGTCCGCCGGAAACGCCCGGATTATTTTCGCGTCTGAATATTAGTTTTCATCTGTCCGTCGCGAGAATAAGGTATTTCGCGGAATAAGGAACGACATATATTGCGCATGTATACGTACGAATATTGGATTTCGCGGGTCTCGTGTAGTAGAAATCCACTTACCGGCGAATTTTTATCTCCGCTAGATTTGCGAATACAATGAGGATCCCGGAGTTACTTGCAGCTTATTTCAGAAATAACGCTCGTCCGTGCCGTGGCATAAATTTCGCGTAATTCCGCGACCGCGAGAAATCCTTCTCTCGGAAATACCACGGAGCATAAATTTTCGGATAAAGAAGGTTATAAAATGTCTCGATATTTCATAGCATCCTTTATGTAACGCTCGTTTGAAAATCCACCGTGAGAAAGACGTGGAGGCTCACGTGAAAGGCTCGCAAGAGGCGAAACTGTTCTACATTATTCTCGAGTTTTGAATATTCATTTTGTTTTACGATGGTACTTTCGGCTCTCGTGGTGTTTAGTTTTCGAAAAATCTCACAAATTCGCGCTCGCGAGCTGAGTTGACGTGATAGCGCGGCCACGCGCGAGAAAGATCTCGTTAATTTGGAAGTTAATTTCAAGTAACGACGCGGCGGACGAAGGAGGGGATCGCATAAATTCCGAGGGCGAGCACGTACACGTCACACAGGGCTGGAATCGCGCAGTCCGGGGATGGGGTGAAAAGGAATTAAGGCCGGACTTGCTAAATATTTTTACGTCACACATAAACTTTACATCACGAGCGACGGGGGCTATACAGTCGATCGATTCGACGGTTGGAAGGCACGTATCTAGAAGACGACGCAAGGAAGGGTAATCAGGGATGGATATAGACGCCGCGACCCATTCGCTCACCCTCCCGTGACAGCGATTTTTCCGGAATATCTTCGGCCTAAGTCTCTACAACCCGACCTATATCCTTCCTTTCGTTCTACGCGTCTATCGATTCTCGCGCGATCCTTTAACATTTCTCTCCACACGTGGAAAATCGTGCCGCGCGAGCGGCGGAACAAACGGAGAGCGAAATCGATGGAAAATCGTCGGCGCGGAGAACATTAGTCGTTGCGGTTTTCCGCAGTACCGATACATTTCGCACATTTTTATTCAAATCTATATTTATCTTTATACTTATACACACTTAGCTTCGCAATTCATTTCACACGGCTGTAAAATTAGAATCTCCCCTATTTTTCCCGGAATGTAACCGGCGTACTTTTAAGAACTTAAAAAAAAAAAGAATGAGATGAAAGGCAATTTGACGAGTAAAACTGATAGATAACTTATACGGAAGATAACCGTTTTTTCGATGTCGAATTGAGATTGAGTGAACGTAAATCGCGTATTCGACGTCCACGAGCGCGAAATGCGTTATCATCATCGGCGAGTCGCTCACGCAAGGAATCGCGCAGAACTGTTACAAAGCAGAGAGTCGTCCAAGTGGAAGGAACCACCGCGAGAGTAATCTCTGGTGTAAATGGTCCCGACGACTATCTCTACCGCGTACATAGCTATTCCCAGCGGTGGCTCAGGAGGCTCAAGACAAAAGACTGTGGAGAATAGAGGTGTCTAGTCGGCCGAGTGACGCGAATCCGTCGGAAAGCGCGAAATAGGCCTCTCAAGTAATCGAATATCTGAACATCGACTAACCGAACATCCGAAATCCGATGCGAAAATATGTGAGAAAAATGTGTTTTCAAAGTTAACCTCAGTATAAAAACAAAGATATGCAAGCAGACAATGAAATTGTGCAAAATGTGCCAATATTAACATAAATAAACAAGAACGTTAATGTTAACACATTTTGCTTAATTTTATTATTATTTGCATATCTTTGTTCTTCACTGAAGTTAAACTTGAAAAAGTTTTTAATTTTCGCCCGAAAATCGCTCCGAACTTCCAAGTACATTAGAACACTCCAAACTGCGTTATTCGGATAATCCGGATAATCCGAATTATTCAAGTTTAAACCGTAAGAAGATCCGGATCTAGAACCGAATTTGTATCCGTGCGAATTTGTATTCAAATTAAGTAAAAGAAAAACAGATAATATCATAATAATATAATAAAAATGACAGATCAAGCTAATGACAAGAAAAACTGAAATACTTATTCAAAAACATAAATACATATAATCGTCTCATATTTTTTCGTAACACACACACACACACACACACATAAGAAGTAGAATAAAACAATAATTTATCGTTTAATTTATTAATTAGAGAAGGTTTCAGATGTTTTTATAATATAGAAAATTGTATTACTGGAATTCAAGGATCGGTTCATGCGTAGAAGGCTGATTCGCCGTGTGTGTACGTTTGTAACAACTATTTTCTAACTAACTAACAATTTTCCGACATGTGCTTAATACACTATTAATATACACATTTATATTCTCCCATTATAATTTACACGTATCGCTACAACAGCTGCTTGGTTCTTATTGACCATTATTTCTTTCTTTCTTAATTAATCAGTAATAGAGCCGTTTATTAATACATTTGTAAAACATATACTAATTTACTGATTGTCCAATTTTCGAGAGAGATCTAGATTGCTGCGAACGTGCCTGTTCCACCACTTCCGAATTTTGGAAATTTCCCGACTCGCGAAGCGACATTTCTCCATTCGGTTGACTGAGAGTCGCAAAGTCAATCTACGTATGCTTCCTTACGATACTTCAACTTCAGAATTTAACTCGGGATTATACTTCTCTTTCTCCCTCGCGTCTTTATTAACATCTCGAATTAGATGGCGAACTTCCTCGATTTTTCCTCAGCGTTGAAGTTCAGCCTCGAGTCTCGGCCGGGCAATCACAACTTGCTCGATTGCGAATTTAAATTTATGCGCAATACTCGCGGTCTTCTCTCGCCCTTGTCAGTGCGCAGATTGGCACTCGAGGGGGCGACGTTTAACTTCGTATGCGCGAATATCCGGTTAGTGTTTGCCACTTGCGAGCGTCGAGCGTGTACTAATCCGGCGACAATGATATTCCCTCGAATCGTTTACCCGGCGGATCAAAGAGCGCCCTTCGGCAGTGCTCGAGTTCGCGCGCGAGTTTCTTCACGAGCAACTCTTCGCGAAACCATACGTAGTGGCGTTCGTCAAAGACGTGCGGGGGCTCTTTAGCGAGACGTCGTTGTGAAACGTCCTCGAGGTGTATGCCGTCCGAACTAGTTTCACCACAATCAACAGCACGATTACGAGGAAACGTAGGTCGCAGAAGCGACAGAAACTTCAATGCGCGGATCGGATGCCGTTTTAACACCAGTTACTTCAATTTCCGCCGCTATTTACAAACCTTGCGAGTTCCCTTGATTCGCGAATGGGCGATTAAAGATGCAATATCCGTCTTCTTCTTCTCCAATGGATATATATTTTTCGTAAATAAATAACTATCCCGTTTCATCATTTCGCATAGGTATTCCCCGTTAATAAGCAAGGAAATAAATATCGAAACGCGAGCTTCACGAAGTCGTAGCGGCTTCATCAACCCCCCCGCTTTGAAGGGTAACATGAATGAAAACGAAAAGAAGAAAAAAGCCGAGAAGAATACGAAGAAAATCGTAGCGCTGGAAATATAAGGGGCGAGAAGCTAATCTCGAGCACGGTTTTGGTCCGGTTATTTGCACCGAGGATTTACAGATGCTCTAAGTTTCTTCCCGATTTCCTCTATCTAATACGGCCGAGGGGAGCGGAGGGGTCGTACTCTCTAGAGCAGTCGTGAGACCGTCCCTAAAGTCAGTCGTAAATATCAGATGCGTCTGAACGATTACGTCGGTGGACTGGGTCTAGAAGTGGCCATTAATTGGGCTGACCCTAATTAGTCATTTTTTGCTCTTATTTTTGCCGAAGACCTCGGTGACAAAAGTCCTCTCGATTCGGGACGGTAACGCTCGTGACCGAAACATGAAGTTCCTGCGATTTCGCCTTGTTTTTCAAGCTAATTTAAGCTTGCGTTCGCAGCGAAATTATTCTTCCAATGATTGAATTGTGAATGGATGAGTTTCGAGAAGAAAATTGTTTAAACTGAGCCAGTCGGTAATTCCACGATAAATTGATAGTAATTTCCTAATGATAATTATAATTATAATTAATAATAACCTCCTGATGTCGTTGAAATTTTTATGTACTAATCGTTTCAATAAAGGGAGATCTTGAGAATTAATTTTCTGATAAGATAAAATCAAATCGTGAAATTAGTCGGAAGATTAGAGACGTGTCAAAGCATCAAGAAGATATACGGAGAAAATATTGTAGTAAGAATTACTACAAAATTTTACAATGCTGGACTCTATCGGAATTATTACGAGTGAAATCATTACATGTTGTAATCTTTAGTAATGCGTATACAACGAAATACATCACTAAAGATTACACATCATAATTTCAGTTATAATTCCGGTATGGTACAGTGTTACAAAATTTTGTGGTAATTTTTACTGCCATATTTTCTCCGTGTACGAGAAAGAAGATATTTGTTACCAGGGAAAAAAGGAGAGGTGCGCCGGACGTCGGAATGCGGACGAGTCTTGAATTTTAGAACGTACAACACAAGAGATTAATGAGACCGTACGAGGAAGAAGACAAAGAAATTCGTACGTTGCGAGTTTTCACGTCTCGGAGATCGGGAATCGCGCTATATCTTCTCGTTCTCGTATTTTCGAAGTTCCCGGTCGAGACTTGAGAAGTGGAAGGCAACGGCACCGACAGAATTAGAGGATTGTGGGTGACGTTGAGGGCTCGTAGGGGGGTTGAGATAGCGGACCAAAAGTTGGACTTACTTTGAGGGCCTCCTCGTGGGTCACGGCGCGGAAGGGTGTGCCGTTCACCTCCAGGATGGTGTCTCCTGGCCTGAGTCCAGCGCGCTCGGCCACCGAACCTTCCTCCACCCTCGAGATGTAGACTCCCACCCCTGAAAACAATTCGCAGACTTTCTATCAGGCCAAAAGCTGCCGCGCTGCTGGTTCGCGATCGGTGCCAGCGAAGACCTTCCGCCCATGACGCGCTCGAACGACTCCCATTCCGTCTCATAAAACGAGCTCCCTCGATCTTTCGCGATCCTGCATCCGGATAAATTGGAAGGGCTTCTATTTTAAAATTATGAAAAATAAATGGAGAAATTTAAGAACGCGTGAATGACATCTCGGCCGCGAATTTTCCTAACTTGGACATATTTTCGTAAAAAAATGCACCACGCAAAGTGACGGTGTTTCTCTTTTACCAATTGTTGAGAATAAGTCAGCGCTCGTGAAACGAACGATATAGGATGTTTCAAAACGCGCGCGAGTGACGTCTCGGAGACGGTACTTGCGGAGGTAGAGACCTTACGCGAACGTGGACGTGATTTTTCGACAATTATTGGCTGGATGTTGATAAATTAGCGCTTGCATCTAAAGTAGAGGGTGACGCGCACCCGGTGTGAAGGCGAGAAGGACCTGTTGGGTACTATGTAACAGGCAAATTGACTTTGTGGCGGAGCTGGCAAACTTCCCCGATATACTTGTTGAATCGGATATAATAAACGCCATGGGCAGAAATATCGTGAAAATAAGAGAGGAGAATGTAAAAAGACGTATGCGGATGCATCAAAGTGAGAAGTAGATACAGAAAACAGCGTGTGTGTATATCTGTCTGTTGCATGTATCTTTGTGCGTGTATATGTGTATGTGCGTGTCTGATTCCTCTGTATTAGAATAGATGCACGTGTGTATATTCGTGATAGAAAGAAAGACATGCATAGATTCTTCGAAGAGTCAAGAGGAAACGTGATTGCATCGCATGATGTGCATCGTGCTTGCATTATGCATTCGTGATATTTCTGTATCGTATTATTTACGTGTGCACCTATGTATGTGCGTATATATATATATATATATATATATATATATATACACACATATATATTTAGGTATGTTCGTTTGCGAGTATTTTTCATTGCGTCGAGAAAGCAATAATCGATGGCAGCCGATAGTGCCTCTCCGAGCGGAGCCGCTTCCTATGAATTTTTGAAGATCCACGAGGACAATGAAATCTGTACAATGTGAAAAAATTCCTCTTACGCGTGACGTAATACAGTGAGACGGTATTGGTTTTAGCGAGTTCGACCGATTTTGCGATGAAAAATTACACGTCTAAATATCTGATATATCTGTCTCATGCTTCGTGAATTTAATTTTCTCGGTGAAGGAATATAAAAATGATATGAATATATAAAACTATAAATAAATGTATAAAATACAACAGTCATATATATATATATATACATTTTATATATAATTTACACAATTCTTTAGAATTAGAGATCAATATAAATGGCACAATTTAAGTTACATCGTAAAACCGAAATTATCATTGTTACAAGATTATTATTATTATTATTGTTACACCGGAACTACTCGATCTGCTCCAAACAAACGAGACATCAATATCATTTTTCGGAGTCGAGAGTTCTCCGCCGTACGGCTACGTAGTGTCCATGAAACATTCAGTTGTGTGTAGAGGGGCATGTCAATCGTGGCGAAGCGAGAAATAGAGAAAGAGAGAGATAGACCAAGAAAGAGAAAGAGAGAGACAAAGGAAATGCGACGACCAGAGCACAGAAGTTCGTGAGATTTCACGGTAAGCTCGCCCACTCGACCGGTCGAAAGTGCATTAAGGCGCGGCCTCAGGGATTTCCTTTGAATATAAACGAAATCTCTCTTCCGTTCTGTTATTCCTGTTGTCAGGACGTTGTCTGGCTCGTTCTACGGGTACATTTCGTGCCACCTGAGCAGGTAAGCTCATCGCGAAATCTCACGTACTCTTCCGGCCATTCTGGCGGATGACACATCGAATCGCACGCTCGAACTGCATTTCTGCGGTTCACGACTCCTTGTTTATTGTGTGTTTGCGCTGGTAGCGTATTATCATCGTCGGTTGTCCCCGTCGAGGTCGACGAGAGTCTTCCGAGCGACGAGAAAGACAGAGAAAAGGAGAAAGAGAGAAGGCGAATCTAAAGATCGGTCGAGATGAAAATAGTCCGTGTGTGCAGTTGCTTTTCGTATTGCCGAGTATACTCGAGATGGAAATGCGATTAATTGAGAATTTTCCACGATTCTTTAAACGCATTTACAATTCTTCGATTCTATTCTCTCGTCATTGTCATATACAGAGTGTTTCGTTAAATTCATCTGGAGCTTCTCTTTCCTCACTTGATTGTATTCCCAAGTGAAGTTTTTCCGAGCTCAAGGATAATCTTCTTTCGAGGAAAATTTGTTCAGACGAGAGCTCTCGCAGCGCCGTTTGAATGTTCACTGTTCAACGTCTCGGCGGTCACGCGCGTAATTAAATTTGCATTTTAGCGAGGTTTGCTCGAAGTTCCTCGAAACGAAGCCCAGTTGTCCATATTTGCGGCCTAGAATTATCATTATAATTCGTGACGATTTGACCAGCTGTTCAAATGAATCCGTAACTTCAAATTAGCCTTCATTCCTTTTGTCTTTCGTACACAGAGAGAATATCGTAATAAAAATTGCCACAAAAGTTTATAATGCTAAATCATACCGGAATTAGAATTGAAATTATTATGTGTGTTGTAATCTTCAGTGATGTATTTCATGTGTACACATCACTAAAGATTACAACGCATATAATAATTCTAGTCATAATTCCGGTCCGACTTTACAAAAATTTGTGGTAATTTTTACTACCAAATTTTCCTCGTCGTATCGAAGTGAAACCGATCGATGATTTGTGTCACGAATAAAAACACCCTGCATACGAAGATAATTTACGGAAGGAGAAATCGTGTGTGGTAATTCGGGAAACACGCGAAAAACATTGATTTCTATTTAAATGACACTTATGAAAGCTCGGTGGCGCTCTTCATCGTCATTTCGAACGCTCCGCTTTATCTGCTTCGTTCGCTCCCGCTTGGTTTTTCGAGCTTTGTGACTGACGAAAGTGCAGGCTCTCTCTTCTACGCGATCATACACACACTACACGCATATGCATTGTACACCCATGCAACGAACTGTCGGCGTGCCAAGTCTAGAGAGGAAGTAGCTTTCTGACAGATACTCGTAGTGAGATGCGTTAACCCTCCTTTCTCTCGTCGAGTTACCTGACTGCGCTTCTGGTACAGCGAAACAGAAAATAAGAATGACACAATGCAAGTTGGTTTATTCTCAAACCCAGCCGGTCGCGGACGATGACAAAATCCGCAGAAAGCTCGCTTTAAGTTCAATGAGTCTTTCCCCCCTCGAAGTGTCATCGGCGCAAAATAATACGATTAAACTCCAAATGGAGCTGCTAATTTACGATAACGCGCGTGGTAAAACGATAAAGTCGCCAATATGAGCAACAGAGTAAAGAATCGGAATTTTATCAGATGCAAAAGTAGTTCCTGTCGGGCCATTAATTGTACAAGTACTTGGAAAATCTTATATGATAATTTCACACGACGAATTTTAATATTAAAAAAAAAATCGTAAAATCGTGAGCGAGATTAATTAAATTAATTCTCAAGAATTATGCTCGAGCGGCTCTTATGCTTTCAATAAAACGCAGAAATCTCGGGTGAGCTTTCGCGAGGGGAGCGACTATTAAATTTTTCTCATGCGAAATTGCAATTTCCGACGACAGAATGAATTTTACGCCCGAAGTGTAATGAAACTCTCGATAACGCGAGAAAAAGGTGCCCGGACGGGCACTTTTTCCGACTTTCTGCAAATTTCAGCATCGTTTGAAACAGGTTTTTAGTGCCGCGATCCGCGCGGCAGGCAAGATAGGTCTTTTGAGGCCTCTCGCGGAATATGAGAGAAAGAGAGAGAGAGAGAGAGAGAGAGAGAGAGCTTTTCGGATTTGGTGGTTTCACGCTCGAATTCACGGCGATGATAAAGCTCGTCAAGCGACATGATAACCAGCGCGCGTGTATGTGCAGCGTCAATGCGTGATTAAGCGTGAGATTTAACACTCGCAGTCTCCCCCAGCGATCATCGTGACAGACCGTGCTGTCGAATCGTCCCGCGACTCTGATTTCTTCCCTGGTACTCTCATTTCTCGCGAATCTTCGAGTTCCTCCGAAGGAATCCGAAGTATTAAAAATGAGATGTCAGGAAATCCTCTAAATAGGAATTAAAAGACCCGAAATATTAATATTACAAGTTAAAAATGTTCGTACCTTTTAATACTCATTATTTTATCCGACCGTTATTCTCTTTACATTTTTCTGAAGTGAGTAAACGTGTCAAACATTTCCAATATCGGAGAAACGTTTGGCCGCGCACGCGATGAAAATTTCATATTTCCCGAACATCGCGGTTGTTACACCGGAGAACGTATCGCGAGCTAGTCTGATTTATCTTTGAGACCGCGAGGATTAACAGGCTCGGGACCGTGAAACCGGATCTTGTCGCTTTTGTTATTTTAACGACTTTAAGACGGCACTCTAGCGCATCCTTGCCTCGTCACGCGGATCCTGTACGAGGTCCTGCTTACACCAGTTCAGTTGCGAGGAACCTCTCTGGAAAACTCGCAATGCTTATCCTTCGTGAACGCGAGTCGAAAATTGCTCGGAGAAGGTGTTATTGACACGTTGAAAACTATTCAAAGGATAATCGCATTATCGGAAAGATAATCCATGCTTGTGCGGACGTTCTTAACGTTTCATAACGATCGCTTTTTTCACCACGAACCTTTGATGCGTCTCGAGCTTTTTTAAGCCGTGAACTTGTGAAAATAGGAGATACGTTGCGAAAAAATAAATTCCAAGTAGAAATTGATTTAATTATTCTTTGTATCTGTATTTGGGTAGTTAAGATGCGTACTCGAGTTACTCGCAATGAGATCGCGAGGCCGCGTCGCGTTACGAAGCGGCGAGTCCGACATGAATAAGCGGCCAACTTGCGGAATTGCAACAGCTATTGTTAGTTAACGCGCCAAGTATTTTTTCCTCGATGATCGAGTTTTCCAGACAGATTACCGAGCGAAACAACAACGATGATGACGACGACGACGATGAACTCCGGCCGTGCGATTTGCGGCGCAAACGCGTCTCGATGGATCGATAACTCATTATCGCTTCGACCATCGAACGGCGAACAGACCGGAGTTCTACCTCTCGTAAGAGAGAGAGAGAGAGAGAGAGAGAGAGAGAGAGTGAAAAAAAAATAGTCAAGAGAAGAGGGAGAGAAAGAGAGAGAGAGAGAGTCTGTGCAAAACGCGCACGTTCCTCCTCTATCGAGTCCGCGTGCAAACAATCGTCACTGTGGCGGAAAACGGATGCTTAACGATCGTGAAAATGTTTTTGCTCTGCTTTTTCGTTCCGTCGAATATCGTCCTCGCGACAGGAACATTTACTCTTCGCCGCGATCCGCAAATAGACATCTCGATTAATTCGCGCGTGTTATAAACACGAGCGAGTGTATTTCACATTCAGCAAACAGCTGCAAAGCGAAGAGATTAATTATTCTTCTGTTAAAATAATCATCTCTTTTTTTCCCATCTTTTCGTTTGTATCGTGAAATGACGCAATTTAATTACCCCGCGCTGGAAACCCCGAGAAAATGTTCTGCATTTTCACGGGCGAGGTGGGAAATAAATCGAAACGTATAATTTTCCTATTCACTGTGCGAAATCTAACTGAAGAAGTATATAATCGGGTCGAGGTATAATTGAACGTCTGCTGTCGCGAGGATTAAGATGCGCAAGGACGATTCGCTGATCATATGCTGAAGCACGCACAAGCGCAAAGTGTCGGGACACGATGTGAGTGCCAACCGAGGTAACTTAGGCACGCAGCACGGGAAAGGAACAATTCAATTATCAGAGAAACGATTTAGCAGAAATCAGTGAGGGGCGAGTCATCTGGCGGTCGGTTCTTTGAGATACTTCGCGTCGCGAATGTAGACGTTACGGAGACTATCGATCAACAATTATGCATCATATAATCAGATATGCGGCACGTCACGCTGCTCAACGTCGCGCTTTATTGAAATACGAATTTGTTCTCCCTTTTTTTTTTTTTAGATTTTCGCTACCATTCGGTATCCTCGATTTTTAATAAGAATAATTAATAAAAGCGTCACGGAATATTCACACAGTTCACGAAATTGTTTCCGGGTTTATCAAATTACCAAAATTCGAGCGATAAAGTGCGAACTCACACGTTACTGCGAATTTATGCAGATTCGCGAGGTCACGAGCGACTACCGAGACGGTGTCAAATCGCGGTAACGCGTTTGGCGTCAACTCGTTGTCGAAAGCACCGTGATCAGATTCACGGCAGCATAGGCTATGTTTAGACTGGAATTTAAGTTTAGTGACACCCGTGGTTTATGTGAACAGTGTAAAATCGACTTAATTATTCCTGATGTTATAACTATTGGTGTTACTCATGTTACAAACAATTATGTTTCAACTATACGATATGTAGCACTGGCAGTTACAACATCGAGAATTACAAAATCGGCTTTATGTCGTACGGGCATCGCTGAATAGATTGCGGATTATCGCGCGAACGTGCCCAGGTAGACAGGTTCATGTAAATTTAGTAACAACTTTGCTGATCAATTTGCAAAGGTCGTCTCTCTAATGGGCGATTCATACCAGTGTCAGTTCAGTCTCGGTGTTAATTTTATCTACCCGGATACCGGAGTAATTGAATATACGGCTAATTTAAGATGTTATTATTACTTGTTATCGTTAGAAAAATCGATAATTTATAGTGTCTGAAATTAGCCATACACTCAGCTACTGAAAGATCCGGACACTCGAAACTGACAGCATTAATTACGGTACTCGTATTATATCACGTAAAGTGGCGAAATGGAAATTCGAAAGAAATGAGAAAAAAATTACCAAAATTTACACGAAACCATGTCATATGTAACGTAATACGCAAATCTGAGTATAGCTTTTAGTAAATTTGCCGCTGCAACGACGTAACGTAGATTTACATTATTGTATGAAGCAAATTTAATAACACAGGATGAAAAAAATAAATTTGTGTTGAGTAACTTTAATCAGAGTAGGTGTTTCTTATGGATTTTCCGTTACGAAAAACAATGCTGCTGACTAAATTCCATCACGTCGGATTTTCAAGTTATTGAATTTTGAATTTTAAGATGAGAAAGCAGCGATTCGTAGTAAACAAATATATGATAAATCACTAAGAACAATTCTAAAATGGCTAATAAAACAAATATTTCCAAATAAGTGAAATTTTATTGAATTTCAATAAGGAAGAAAAAGTTTCTTTAAATTTTAATCAAACAAGTTACATTAAAAATTTGACATTTTAATAACGATAATTTGTTTAGCCGATAAATACCCAGATAAATAGTCGATAAAATCGCTAATTCTTATCTTAAAACTTACAATAACTTTAAACTTAATACGATGGAACAATTTAGTCGGCGGAATTATTTTTCGCGACTGAAAAATCCATAAGAAACACCTCTGATTACAGTCACTTGACAAACATTTCTTTTTGTCAGTCTGTGTAATCAATTTAATACAGTATATTTTTTCTTTATAAATATAATATGAAAAAAAAAATAAAATAAAAGTGAAATTTCTCGAAAAGACGGTAGCAAGAAAATCGAAAAATTCAAGTCCACATCATTGACTGTCGCGCGTCGTGATAATTACGAAAGTCTGAACAGCCACAGATAGAGAGATGGATCCTCGATTCCGCGGTAAGACGAATTTCCGAATCGAGACGCGATACAGGGACACGGCGGTCGCGAGTTTCTCCTTTTTCTTTTACGGTCACGCGCTTCTCCCTCTCGTTCGTTTACGGCCGCGGGTGCGACGCCAGACGACTCGCTCTGAGCGTATAAGTAGCACGTAACACGGCGCGGTTACACGGCGACAGATAACAAGGTGAGGCTCTTTGTCGACGAGTGACGATAGTCAGAACTAACGTGGAGTAAACCGCTGGGTAAAAGTACCTCGTTCTCGAGGCACGAAGTACGGCGACGGGGGTAGCCTGAAGGTACTTCGGATCTCACCTGCGTCCTTGCCACCCTTCACGCAGATGCCAAAGCCATGGTGAGAGTCCGGCGGATCTCTCGTCATGGTGATTGTCCTTACGGTGAGCTCCTGCAGGCTGAGCGGCTGCTGCGCGACCGGCGACGTAGGCGGGTTCGTGGTGTTCGTCTGCTGCTGCTGTTGCTGCGACTGCTGCGACTGCTGCTGCTGCGAGCCGGTGGTCGGCGTGCTGCGGACCGCCGCGACGCTCGCCGGGCTGGACGCCGGCGTTCTCCGATCGCCTTGGCGACGTTCCGACGTCATGCTGTTGCCGAATAGCCTGCGGGAGATCGAAAATTGCGTTCCTTCGAGATGCACAGGCTGTCTGACACAAGCTGCGCCATTCCTCACCATATCTGTAGTTAAAGTGAACAAAAAAGTCCTCTGGTATTTTCTAAAAAAAAAACCACGTGAAATTCCGTGAGTTATTAATCGTTGAAAATGGCCGTGTACAGAGGCTTCTTTATTTAATAACTCCAAAATCTGCGTGTTATTTGCAAAATGGTAGAGGACTTTTTCTTCACATTGACCTAAACCACAATGTGACAGATAGCTTGCGTCAGACACCCTGAATACGTACAACTTCCAGTGTTTCATCTGCACGAGAAGAGAATGAGCGCGAGTACTCTAAATGTAGTTCCAAATCGCTCGGAAATCGCATTCGACGCAACCCCCCCCATCCCCTTTATTCAGAATGATCAAAGTAATCGCGAGTTAGACGCGGGTGAAACGAATCCAGTCCGCCATGGTAACTTCGACCTATCTTTGTTGATCGTCGTCGAGACGCTCGTACCTGAGCACCTGTTCCGGGGAGATGGCACCGGTGCCGGCGGTACCGTGACCTCTGTGCCTGTACGGGGTCGCGTGCGAGGAGTGATGATGGGGCGCGCTGGGCGGCCTCTCGACGATGGTGTAGCTGGTGCCGGGTGGACTGTAGTAGCCGCGATGTTGGCCGCCATGGTGCCTGCTGGCCGGCTCGAGGTCCTCGGCCTCGTAGCAGCCGCCGGTGCCGCTCCTCAGGAAGTGAGAACCGCTGCCGCCGCGCAGGAAGTGCGTGCCGGTGCCGGCGCCCCACTGCAGCTCCTGCAGTTCGGACCCGTAGTCCTCCGTGCTGCTGGCCATGCCTCAGGCGGTATCAGCTCGGTCACACCTGCCGGCCAAGCGAGCACGCAAGCCAGTCAGTCGGTGGAATTAATCGCCCGCCGCGTGGAAAATATGCGAACGACTCTCTCTCTCTCTCTCTCTCTCTCGCGGCGAGTCGCTCGTGCGGAAACGGTCGCGAATAGCGCGTGCGGTTAATAGCGCGGAGATTTTAGAAAATTTTAGGAGATCACGGGATAAGAGAGAGAAAAGGAGATCCGAGTGGAGACACGAATATTTTGTAATTGTAGGGTTGAGTTTTGACGAGGGGTGTTATGGAAATTTGGAACATAAATTACGTTTCTACCTCTGAAACAAATTTAAAAGATAGTAGCGGTAATAGCAGCATTATGCATATAATGTTGCTGTCATTAGCATTATCTGAGTCGGAATTTTAATTCCAAAGAGTCCTATAAATTTGGTCAAACCCGGAGGACATTGTACAGGCTGTACTGTCCTGTCTTGATGCAATAAATGGTTATTAAATGTCATTTTCTCTCCGTGTTTAAATATCTTTAAAAAAGCCCCCAAGATTCCCATATTATATATATATATATATATATATATATATATATTTGCGATTACCTTTTCATATATATAATAAGTACACAAGGATAAGTAAAATAACAAATTTTATCTCTTCATAGTATCTCGATTATTTATTTCTTCCATTGGCATCGGAAATGTATGCATATATTAAATACGTATCTTTACATTTGAAAATATATGATGCATCGTGACATCTGCATCCTCCGTCTCGGCTCCTCGACACAGCATCCTGCTCCCGGCTGTACCATCATAACATGCCGGATATTAGTTCGTGGCACTGAAGTTCGTGCAGATGCGATTCGATCGGAGAATTATTAATTGACGCAATGCCATCGGGAGTCCGATTAATTATTTCACGAGCCGACAAAAAGTTTCGTGTAAATGTAACATTCGGTAACGGGAAAGAAGTAGACATGACGCGATGCCGAAATAATGGGCAAGAAAGGGCAAAAACGTAATCCCGTCGCTGCCCCGTCCATCGAACGACCGAATGATGACAGCGATCAACGCTGTCGGACGTCGTTGGACCTTCAAGGAGATCATACCTATCTTCGCACGACACGTGTTTTTTCGAATATTTTTATCACATCCTGAGCTTCGGTAGCGACGCGTATATTACGGATTACGTGCACCAGTAATCGTCCGCTTCGGGTGATTAAAATATTGCGTCGGAGCTCGAAATATTCAATCAGAGTATCTCGTCGGCTTCGCGTTATTTAACACGATCTTTGATCGGATCGTATTTACATGGGTTGTATTTATTACATTATTTTGTACAACGAGAAACATTGACTTAAACAGCCCATGAATATGAACTTGTATATGATATGTAATTGTTTATGATCTCAATAAAAAATCATGAATAATTTACAACTACGAATACCGGTCAGAGAATTTAATGTAAATTTGTCAAATGTTGATTTTAACGCCCAATAATGCTCTTCGAATCGCGAATATGATTTTGTTTACATTTGCTAACGCTTTCTTTTTGTTTCTGTTTAACTTTGTTATTGTGTACGTAATGCAAATGTAATTAAATTTCCCTCAGTAAATACATACGCATAGCATTGTTAGAAACACGACTGTTATTTTTACCTTTGTAGTTTCCGCATAATATGTTTTTTTAAGAGTGTCAAATTCCATTGAGAATTCCAACGCCAAAAGAAGAAAAAGAGAGGGATTATGAGAATAGACATATTGTTTCTCTTTTACTTATTTTTACTCATATAAATTTTCATTAAATTAAATATTATAATATATAATTAAAATGAGATGTATAAATATTATAAATATTACCTCTTTATTAAATTAAATATACTATAATAGTTCGAATATTACGTAATATTTCTAAAATGAGTATTTATTTGAGACTCAATATAGAAAAAAC